AGAAGACTTAAGACTCCATCTCCTGCCGACACCATTTCCCCAACCTGAAATGGCACTGGGGAGCCATGACTTGCCGCTGTTCAGGAAACTGACATGCAGTCCATCGGTCCCACTACAGGGTCCCAACTAGGGTCGCTGTGAGGCAAAGCATCCCTGCCCCCCCTCAGGGGTTAATGTGAGTGGTAATGGGCTTGTTCCATCCTGCAGGTGTTACTAATTGGTCTCTCGGCTGACATAGCCCTTATCAACTTCAAGGCCAGAGCTGGAAATGTGGTAATTAGCTTCTTTTGAGAACCTTGGCCCACAGGCTGGGAGGACGGAACCAGGAGTGTTCCAGCAAGAATGTGTTCTGATTGGGTGTCATCATCACCAGATGATGCTCAGCCAAAAACTGTAATTGAGCTAAGAGCCTGGAGAAAGGAGGCTAGCTTGGATTCTGATGGACTGAAGGCCTGGAACATGATATGCTTATATTGCAATAGACAGCAACGTAGAGAACTCATGAGCTATGGCCTTGGAATTATGGTTTGTGCCATCTAATGCAGGTTTCGGAAACATGTTAGATAGTTAAGCTAGCTTTCTTGTTTTTCTGCTGTATGACTCTGGAGCATTGCATTGCCTGTAGACTAACTCTTTTGTTTAGACAGAAATTAAATAAAATTTCATATAATTTTTTTTAAAATAAAGGTTTGATTACTTGTGTACAACAGCCCTGAGGACCCACGGGGTTCAGCTTTGGACTCCTTGACACCAACTCTGGGCTGGGAAGGTGGAGTTTGGTAGGGAGCACAGCAGGGTTGTGATGCCATAGAGTCCATCCTCCAAAGTGGCCAGAGAACTGATCCTTGGAGTCTGGAGGTCAGCTGTTATTCCAGGAGGTCTCCACCTGGACACTGGCAACCCTAGTCCCCAACCCACAGGCTGGAAACACTGCGTGCAGTTCTGGTCACCACACCTTAAAAAGGATATTATAGCTTTGGAAAAAGTGCAGAAAAGGGCAACTCGAATGATAAAAAGGTTGGAACACTTTCCCTATGAGGAAAGGTTAAGGCGCTTAGGGCTCTTTAGCTTGGAGAAAAGACGACTGAGGGGTGACATGATCGAGGTTTATAAGATTATGCATGGGAAAGAGCAGGTAGAGAAAGAGGTACTTTTCTCCCTTTCTCACGATACAAGAACTCGTGGGCACTCCATGAAATTGCTGAGAGGTCGGGTTAGAACGGATAAAAGGAAGTACTTCTTCACCCAAAGAGTGATTCACACATGGAATTCACTGCCACAGGAAGTGGTGGCAGCTACAAGCATGGACGGCTTCAAAAGGGAATTAGATAAGCATATGAAGCAGAGGTCCATCAGAGGCTATTAGCCACAAGGTATAGATAGGGACTCTGGGGCAAGTGATGCTCTGTCTTCTTGATGCTTGGGGGGGGGGCAACAGTGGGAGGGCTTCTAATGTCCTGACCCCACTGGTGGACCTTCTGATGGCACCTGGCATTTCTGGCCACTGTGTGACACAGAGTGTTGGACTCTGGCCTGATCCAACATTGGCGTCTCTTATTTTCTTATGTTCTTAACACTACTAGTGTAGTGGAAAGGGATGACATCGGTGTGATGGAGAAAACTGTTGGAGGACCTGACTCTTGTGCAGAACTAAACCAGTGATTTCCAAACAGTGTGCCGCAAAGGGGGGAATGAAGCATCCCTGGAGAAATTAAGTCCCCCTTCGGTCGCATCCACCACTCTCTGCCCCTCAAAGCATGGAGGTCCCTCTATGTGAGTCCCAAGTCAGACAGCAGGATGCACTGTGATGCCCTGCCACAACATATACTACCAATGACAGATGCAGGCGAATCCCGGCAGCATCACCGCTGAGTTCCACTCCTGACCCTGACTGACCAGGGAAGGGGAAAGACAGGCACTCTGAAAAGCAGGATTCAGTTATTTCCCAAACACTCTCCAAGAGTGATTTTCAGGCTCTGCAGAACTGCGAGCAAACCCCGGAAAGTTCCAAGCCCTCAGGAGAAACCAGGCTGTACAATCCCTGAGGCGGTCTAGGCCTGATCAGATTTTCAGTGGGTGATACAGATGTTTGGTATGCATTTCCGAGTTCACTCTTCGTCGATTCCATTTTTTTTTTCTTACTCGTTCTCACTCTGGTGATCCACCCCTGCTGCTCCCTCACAGATAACACAGACTTGCTGCCCAAAGCCGCACTGTTTCACAATTTTAGGAGCAACATCATTGCCCAAGGCCTTTGGGTGGAATGTATCTCACACCAAGACTTCGGGGAACCATGGATACTGATGCTGCTGCTAGGGCTGCCTGCTTCCACGTGGTGGCTGAAAATCTCCTGGGATCACAACTGATCCCTCCAGGAGACAGAGATCGGTTCACCTGGATAAAACGCCCATTTTGGAAGATGGACTCTGTGGCGTTATACCTCACTGAAACCACTCCCCCTCCAACCCCGCCTTCCTCAGGCTCCACCCCCCAAATTTCGAGGTATTCCCTAACCTTGAGCTGGCAACCCCAGTTACTGCCTCACCCCAGCATTGGGAAAAAAAAGGGCCAGGGGAAATAGTGGATAAAGAATACTTTAAAAGCTTTCGTAGGTTGAGAAGTCCCCCAGAGCTTATTCAGCTAAACTCAGGACTATTGCATAGGTTCTTTCCCCCCCCGAAACTTTAGCTCCACGTCGGGGCCGTAGTTCTACAATGTTCTGAAAACCCCCCTACGAGAGCATCTGCACAGGTCGGGGTGAGTGGTACCTATAAACCGGACGGAAAATAGACTTAAGCTTCTGTGCACGTGCAGCGTCTCGTTTTATATTACAAGCCAATTTAGAACTTTTCAAGACAATTACGTTCCGTTCCTAATGTACGTGACCTAGGCAAGTCCATCCTCTGAGCAAAGTAATTACGGATTTTGCCCGCATCGCTGAAGGAAATTAAACCTTCTAGCGTTGCCCCCCGGAAAAAAAAAAATCTCACCCCTCAGAAGTGGCAAAACAGGTAGAAACGCATTATCTTTTTAAGTGTAAAGAGAGAAGTAAGCCTCCAGTTTTAATCTGAGAACGAGCGCCTCAGATATCAAAGGTCTGGGGAACACCACATTAGGCCGAACTACGCAGGAAAGAAAGGGAACAGTCCCAAGTGTGACGGATTCTCTCTCTGGAGCCCTCAACTCACAATGAGGTGTCTTCTGAAGCTTTTTAATCAGAATATGCCAAATACTGGAGAGATGTGATATTTGTGGCAAGTACCCAGCTGGGGGGAGAAGGAGGTCACGTATGCCCAGGAGACCATAATGATCCCAGGGCTGGAGGGAAAGGTTGAATTCCCCCCCCACACACACACACACACAAAATCCCAAATGCAAATGTGAATTAAAACATCTGTAGTCTCTTAAAAACATTGTAGTGTCAGAGTGACCTCAAGCGTTTAGATGGAGGAATTGCAGACTGGGAACGCCACAGCCGGTACTTCTGCGGTCTTATAAATGTTGTACCAGGACTTGGGGCAGTTGTCAGAAGATAATGAACAGTTTCACTTCAGGGCGGTAGCAAACGTACACATTCTCCCCAACGCGTTAGAAAGCCGGTTGTCTTCTGCTGTTAACAAAGTCATGCTAGAGGCATTTCTTCCGACCCTCCCATTATCATACAGATTGCCATCGCCACACAAGAAAATTGATCCTTCCTCACAAAAGAGCCTCAGCGGTAATACTTGTACTAGCAGCCCTTTCCACGGAGCAGCAGAGAGTGTGAGGAGGGTTGCTAGCTTTTTTTTTTTTACAGTAGTTTGGTCCACAGATTCTGTCAGAGGATTATCTATGCTTTGAAAAAAAATGTAACCGGTGTGGTGTAGTGGTTAGAATGCTGGATCTAAGATCTCGGGAGACCCAGGTTCGAATCCCCACTGTGCCACCATGGGAGCCCGCTGGGTGACCCTGGGTCAGTCCATCTCTCTCAGCCTAGCCTACTTCACAGGGTGGTTGATGTCAGGGGTCGTTTCGTAGAAAAAGAGCTAGGGGAACTCATTAGCATAACTCATTAGCATATGCCACACCCCCTGACATCACCGGAAGTGTGTCATAAGGCCACACACCCCGCCCCCAACGGTCCCGGCCGCCGCCGCCGGTCTTGCAGCTCCACTGCTGAGCCCCATGAGGGGCCCGGCGGTGGACCTGCAAGGCCAGCGGGAGTGCAAGGAAGCCCCGCGAAGGCCCTCCCTGGCCCCAGGCAGGCAGGGGTGGGGAGAGGCAGGGAGGAAGCAACTTACCCTCCCTCTTCTCCTGCCTCCTCCTGGCTGAATGAGGGCCGGAAGCGGGGCGGCCGGAAGCGGGGGGCGGGGCTTCGTCATGTGCCCCGCCCCCCGTACCTCACCGGGGGGAACTGCGATCCCCCGCAATCCCCCCCGAAATGACCTCTGGTTGTTGTAAGAATGAAAAGGAGGCAGGGAGAACAATGTTGTAAGCTGCTCTGGGTCCCCAAGGGGTAGAAAAGTCGGATCTAAATATCTAAATATATCAACAAAAACACAAGAGTAGTGGGGGAGGGAGTCTGATTCATTGACAACCCTAGCAACAAAGCCTGGTTCGAATTTACTAGAGCTAGGCATGGAATTCAAGTAGATGATCAATCTCTACGGCTAACCCAGTCTTTCAGCACTGTCGCAACAACACTGAGATAATGCTTTTCAGGTTCTTTGAAAATGGGCTACAAAAATGCCGACAGCCAGTGCAGTCAGCCTAGGATCTGGGAGACCCAGGTTCAAATCCCTACTCTGGCATGGGAGCTTGCTGGGTGGCCTTGGGCCAGTCACAGTCTCTCAGCCTAACCTCCCTCACAGGGTTCTTGTGAGGATAAAATAGAGGAGAGGAGAGCATCGTAAGCTGCTCTGAGCCCCCACTGGGGAGAAAGGGGAGGTATCAATGAAGTAAATAGCTAGATAAGTTACTACGAATTAAACCGGATCTTCCCTCTTCTTGACTTTACTCACCTCTGGCTACTGCCCAGCAGTCCCATGTGGTGCTGCGTTTTAACTCCAAAATGACCAAAAGGGACATTCCCCATCAAGTAGCAGAAGTGAGCGGCCTCCGTTAACCCCTTCCCAGCTGAGAAAAGAAAGGTCAACGTATTAAATTCAGAACAGATTATAATACACACTTTTTTTTAAAAA